GGGATGGGAGAGGGGAAGCAGAGCCCATGGGAGAACCGGCACTGTGCAGTGTCACGAGATCAGAGAGGAGGAAATACAAAGAGTTTAGAGATTGGTGTGTCGGGTCAAAGAGTTTGGGGGAATCTGAGAACTGGGAAAGGGCCACTGGATTTGCTTTTAGGAGTTAGGAAAGCACCGGTGACCTTCAAGAGAGTAGTGTGGAAAGCATGGTGGGAGCAGTGTCCACACGGGTAAAATAAGGAAATGAGGAAAGAGGAAAGCTGAGGCTACCAGCAGAGATCACCCACCGGGGATTTCTCGGGGAAAGTGAGAAATAAGATATTGGGCCAACAGAAAATAGCCCAGCCTTGGACCTCACTCCTTTCTACAGCTGCCCCTCACCCACCAGTGCTCTGCTGGGGCCCATGTCTCTTCTGTTTCTCTCTCTGTACCGTGCTGGGCCACCTCACTCATGGTCTCATCTTCATTGCTCAGTTGATGATCTGGTCTCACACTTCCCTCTGCCCTCCACACACCTCTCTCGGTGTCCCCCAGGCACGTAGGCAGCACTGCTCAGTCTCGGGAAGGGGAACCAACCACGTGTTCCCCGTCTCTCTTCTCAACACCACCATCCATCCCTCCACCCAGTCACCAGTTAAGTCAGAAACCCAGAGGGCATCCCAGGACTCCCTCTTCTTCATCCCCACATCTGGTTGGTTGGTGATGGAGCCTGTAGAGTCTATCTCCTTGGCAACTGGCTCTGCCCCTTCCTCTCCAGCCCATTCCCTTCTGTGCAACCTGTACTACGGCAATGATCTCAGATAGGTCTGCTGGCCTCTCCTTCGCCTCCAGGCTGCTGCCAGAGTCACGTTCCACAGGCATTAGCACCCAGTGACAAAGAAAGAAGCTGAGCCCTGCCCATGGCTGTTCTCTGGACGGTGTGGGCCCTGCTTCTTTTCAGCCACACTGCCTCACATGTGCCTCACACATGCGGGCCGGCCTAGGCCTCCTGGTTTTGGCCTATGTAGGTCCCTGTTTGTGAAGGAGTCTTCCCTTTCTCTTCCCTCCATCTCTCTGTTCCTAGCCCTAAGTAACACCCCCCATGCCTGGCCAACACCTGGTCCTCTTTCTGTGTATAACCCAGAAGTCTCATCTTCTTGAGGAAGAATTTTTCCCTTCCTTTTCGGGTGTCTTTCTCTGCCCTCTTCCTCCAAAAGGCTTTTAGTGGTGCCCATAGGCCTGTTCTACCAGACTGTGCGTCCTTCGCTGGGGAGGGAGTTGAGGTGGCAGGTAGAGAGGGTGGAAGTTGACTGTAGCAGTAGCTACCTCTCAGGAGGCCTCTGGTGGGTGTTACTGAAAATAAAATGAATTCAACAAAAGGCCAAAAATAACTTGGCTAAGCATACTCTCTCTTATTCTCCCGACGCTATTGTCTCAGCTCCCTTCATTGCTCTGCCTTTTCTTTTATTCATGCTCTCCTTCTGCGCCCTCTTTTCTCTTTTCTTTTTCCTGGCTTCTTCCTTCTCTCTTTAACTTCTGGAGGAACTCACACCAGCTCTGGACACAGCTGCCCTCTTTCCTCCTTGTTGTACCTCTTTCCCCTGGACCCTGTCTTTGAGGGTTTATGGCTATTTTCTAAGAGCATCAGCTTGTCACCTGCAGACACTGGCCTTTCTCTGGTGTCGTTGTCCCTGAAACTGGTGTCTGTGTAGTTGGCTATTGAAGGGAGAAATGGAAGCCGCAGGCTGAGTGTGAGCCTCTGCTCTGCTTACAGACACACTGTGGATTGCGGATCTGTGTGCTGCTGTAATGAGGATGTAGAGGCATGCAGAAACTCCGTTTTACACAGAGATATGACCTGGAGGGACTTAAGCCCCTTTAAGGATGAGCTCATCCGAGCTTCTCACTTGGCAGCAATGGCATATATAAGGCTTGGAAAGGCCAAGTGATACTGTAAGGTCACAGAATTGAAGGCCTACATGGGAGCAGAGCCAGTTAGCCAGCGACCTTTTCACTGATTCACTGTGGCCTTTGGAATGGCTCAGAGCCCAAGTCGCTAGTGGGTTAAGTAGGTGCTGAGGGCTGGTTCTGAGTGTCCCCCAACATTACCCACACCAACCAGCCAGGACACTGAGGTCGTGCAGTACCCACATTACTGTCAGGAAGGTTACCAGGCCAGCATGGGGAATGGCACCCAGGTGGGCAGGGCTGTCCCTGGCAGGCCCCTCTCCGGTGCTGAGCATGGCTCTAAGAATAAGTGACTGTTCCTTCTACAAAGTGGGATGGTGGCCCTAGATCCTGGCAAAAATGGGGGTCCCACCCTGTGCTCACAAGGCCCAGGCTTTCTCAGGGAGCCAGGCCCCTGCGTTGGACGTCCTTGTGTTTGCCATCCCATGTGTCAGTGAAGTGCCTAAGGAAGCATACATCACTTTTTCTATTTAATCTGCATGCTCAGAGGCGGAGTCCCGAGTGTGTGTCCCTCCTCACGGAGTCGAGGCACGGGGCCTAAAGTGAGTCATCAGATAGACAGAGCGGCGGCCGCGTCAGGGTACGCACGGCGGTACGTTAATGAGCGTTCACACCGACATGGCAAAGGCAGTGCTCTCAGTTTTTAAATGACAATTCTGTGACAAGTCATGCTGTTAATACACACAAGAAATACCAGTTAGCCTTCACGGAGATATAACACACAGCCTGTACAGATCACTGCTATCCCAAGTGCAGAACAGATTGTTTTCTCTGAAATGAGGCAAGAATTAGCAGGTCATTCAATTATTTGGGAAACAAAGATAAGTAGAAATAACAAATCCAAATATTGAACACCCATTACTACCCGGGAGCTACAAATCGGGTTGGCATTACAACATGCCCCTCCTCGGTAGCAAACCCAGGAAATGTGAGAAGTTGGCAGAAACACAAACCTATAAGGAATACGTGTCTATACAACAAAGACACAGTATCACTTCCCAAATGGCGCTTTCCAAATGCTCATCCCATCCACTGTGAGAAAAGCCCGGTGCGTACATTCGCCCCAACGGCATTGAGAAGAGCAACCTCCAGATGTCAAGCCAGCAGCTGGGATAAGTGGTCGGGAGCTTCTGCTGTGACCCCGAAGGAGGTGTGTGGGTCAGTCTGACAGCCTGGTGGCCAATGACGTCATTTCATAGGTATATCCTTAACTCCAGGAACAGAGCAGAGAGTCACGCTGACCCTCCCAGATCAGCTCCAGGGACCAAAATGTAAGATGTTATCTAGCAAGGCCCATTAAAGTCCAGTTGGGAGCACCTGGGACCTTCACACCGTGGTGGGACCGTAGGCGAGAGGAAGGTTACTCGCTCCAGGGTCACTGTTCCGTGTCCTTCCTTAGTGGGAATCGACTCGTGTCTAAGCCAGCTGAGCTGTTCCCTCTTCCCTCTTATCTGAAACCATCACCAGGAGAACTCAATGCGATTAGGACCGTCTCCTCCCGCTCAGAAGTGACTGAAGTCTCCAGGAAGGGCAAAGTAAATGTCCTACAAGTATGTCTATGTACAAGAGGTGAAAAGACAGTCTCTAAAGCACTTTGGGATTACCCTAGTGAAAGGCACCAGATAAATGCAAGTCATTACCAAATTGAAAAGTCAAGGATTCCAGCGTTCACATCCGCTAAGAGTGACCAGGACGGCTGTCTCCTTTTTTGGTGGTAAAACCCGCCTGTTTAGAAAAATACTCACGAGAGTGACTGAGCTCCCCTGCCCCCACTTTTCACAGACTCTATGGTCAGCGACCTAGTGGCCATGCTCAGGGACCTGATACCACGCGTTTGGGCAAACGGAAGAGTCCTCACAAGTTTGTGGCATCATTTCCTTCAGTGCAGCTAAGGCTGATGTTGCAAATTCTCTGCCTTCCAGTGCCAAAACACCAGCCAAAGCCAAGTACTCCGTGTGTCGATTCTGAAAAATAACCCTGCTCTTCGAACGGGGTGGCCTGTTGCCCCTAAGTCATCTCACCCTTTCCTGCTTCTGAGAAACAGATGGAGATGGTAGACCATCAGGCACCAGGACAGGTCACCTCCCTACCCTCCACCAGGATCGTCTGGTGGAAGGATTTGAACTGGGAACTCAAGGGCACATGTAACTAGTGCATACATCCAGCAAATTACCTGGGCTGTGGTATCCATGGCAACTACAAGTACACAAAGTCTTCTGACAAGATCCTCACCACCCTCCCATGATCAACCAAGACACAAAATGGACCTGTTTAGGGAAGGCCCAAGCTGTGGATAAAACACCTGCCTAGCTCCATGCTTAGGCTCCTGGATTTTGCAGCCTTTCCAGAGACCGAACCATAATGAAAGCCAACTGTAAAGCTATCTGGTTACCTAGAAGATAATGGAGAATTATCTTACAAAGGGGCCCAGGTTCCCCTTCACAATGTTATGTGCCAATGAAGAGGAGGAGGAGGAGGAGGAGGAGGAGGAGGAGAAGGAGGAGGAGGAGGAGGAGGAGGAGGAGGAGAAGGAGGGGGGGGGGGGAAGGCATTTTGGAAAAGAAAAGAGCTCTCAACCTTCAACACAAATTTAGAAGTTTAAAGGCCTTTTAAATAGCGTTGCGCTTTTCTGGAAGTTTACAATTGTTTATGAGAGTAGCGATGCTTTCTTTTACAACTCTCTCCTTTTTTCCGTCCTCTACACACCCTCCTCCAACAAATGGCAGTTGAAATGGAAATGGGAATTGTGGTGTTTCCATCCTGGGTAAGCAGCACAGCTTTCATGCATGTCTGTATTTTGAGTGCACACTTCCACACCACCAGATCCCCATGTCATACCAAGGGAATCACAGCATTGCAGGTAGCATACTCTATCCTAGATGCAAAACTACCTAAGGAACTTCTGCTTGGAAATAAAAGGGCTCTCGTTTTACAAGCTTGCAGAACAGGCAACAAGATTTCTAAACTACTGGCCTTGTCGGCAACCCAACAGTGTTCCTCAGGGAAAGAACACAGCAGTAAACTTCTTTTTAGTTGAAAAAGACGATACGACCTTATTTTTAAACATTTTTAAAGAACAAACATTTCAAAAACATGCTAATCCCTAAGACACAGCAAAGTTTGGTCAAATGGGCTAGACCGGGAACCTAAGCTAGAAAACAGACGCCTGCACGGTCACCCCAGGAAAGACAGAGGCCCACCTTTGAAAAGTCTGATTGACCTATGTTTAATGGAAGCCCCTGTCCCTAAAGCAGCTGTTCTAGGGGAAAAATTTCTATCTTCGCTACGTGGTTAACAGAGCAACATTTACGAGATAAACGTCAACACATAGTGTTCTAAAGGTGACCAGGTTCCCATGCAAATCACAGAGCTACGATCATTCCTAACCCAACTCACAGACCTGTGTTGGGCGTGTGCTTAACTTCACATTCTCTTGTTTTGGTATTAAAACGAATGAAGGCCATGAATTAAAAAACAAAACAAACAAACAAACAAAAAACAAACATTGAGATTCTGTTCTCACGTATGTGAGCAAAATCCCAGCATATCCTTGCTGACCCCACAGATGTGTTTCCACTGGACAGACAGGTAAGGGGCTTTGTGTACAGATCTCACAATGACAACCTTAGAAAAAGAGCACAGAAACCTCACAGACAGTACTGGGGGCCACGAGCACTAGAGAACACGGAGAACAGAAAAGTTAGCATTCTTGTGGGGGGTATTCATCCAGCAGAAAGGCAAAAACGTTCTATTGCCCGTGATGCAAAACACCCGTGAGGTGTCATTTCATCGAAAGGCGCGAAGGCATGGTGCCAGACACACCGCCCTCTGGAAAGGACTCTTAACTACTGTGGAAGCAACCTGGCTGCATAGCCCATGCATCTCTCCCTTTCGGGGCTGGCCACCTCCTTCTGCCATCACCCTAAGGTGCCTGGACTGAGTAAGAGGCACGAGGGGCAGCTCAACATTGTGGGTGTGAGGACACGTCCTCCTCCCTCGCTACTGTAGGGAATCATTTAAACTTAATTCGCTCGGCGAGCTCCTGCTCATGTTTGTCAGGCTCGCCATGAGGGACTTAACCTTATGGGCATAGTAGTCCCTCAAGTTGACGGACGGGACCTCCTTCATCCCGTCTCCGAAGTCACAGCTGCGCATCGCGCTCTCCAGCTGCTTCTGGCGCCGGTAGAAGTGGGAGAACTTGTTGAAGATCAGGGTGATGGGCAGGACCACCACGAGGATCCCCGCCAGGATGCAGGCGGAGGCGGTCAGTTTCCCCGCCATGGTCCCGGGGACCACGTCCCCGTACCCCACCGTGGTCATGCTGACGGTGGCCCACCACCAGCAGGCGGGGATGGTGGCCAGGCCCTCGTTCTCCTCCTTCTCGATGGTGTAGGCCACCACGGAGAAGATGGAAATCCCCACCGAGAGGTAGAGCAGAAGCAGCCCTACTTCCTTGTAGCTGTATTTGAGGGTGGCCCCCAGCGAGCGGAGGCCGGTGGAGTGCCTGGCCAGCTTTAAGATGCGGAAAATCCGCATCAGCCTTAGCACCTGGGCCACCCGGCCCAGGTTGGCCAAGGTGGGCGTGCTCTCCACCACCAGGTTCACCACCAGCGTGACGTAGAAGGGGACGATGGACATGAGGTCGATGAGGTTGAGGGCGTTCTTGAAGAACTTGAGGAAGTCGGGGGCCACGGCGAATCTGGCCAGCAGCTCCAGCGTGAACCAGGCGATGCCGAAGTGCTCCACGATTTCGAACCGGGGGTCCTCTCCCGGGTCACCCTGGCCATCAGGGATCTGGAAGTCGGGCAGGCTGTTGAGGCACATGGTGATGATGGAGCCCAGCACCACCAGGATGGACAGGATGCTGAAGACCCGGCTCAGCACCGAGTAGCCGGGGTTGTCCAGCGCCAGCCACAGCCGCCGCCGGATGCGGCCCAGGCGCTGGCCCTCGAACTTGGCGGCGTCGTTGTAGAAGGCCAGGATCTCATCGAAGGAGGACGAGGTGCTCTCCTGGTCGCTCTGCTCCTCCTCCCACTTGTCCTGCGCCGGCTCCACTTTGCGGCCGTGGTAGCTGTAGCTGCAGCAGGCGTCGATGAAGAACTCGTTGATGCCCCAGTACTCGATCTCCTGGCTGAAGGAGAAGACGCACAGCTCGGCCATGACGTGCAGCCGGCCGGTGCGGTAGAAGTGCAGCACGTAGGGGAAGAGCTCGGGGTTGCGGTCGAAGTAGAACTCGCGCTGGGCGTCGTCGTAGTCGTCGCAGAGCTCCAGGATGGCCTCCCGGGAGTGGCAGAGCAGCAGGCGGCCCAGGCGCGTCTCCGGGAAGCGCAGCAGCGTGTGCGAGCGCAGCCGCCTCTTGAAGCCCCCGACGTTGATGCGGACGTCTCCGTCCTCCACGTTGGCCACCTCCGACACATCCCACAGGCTCCGGCGGGTCATGTTGGAGACGCCGGGCCTCGGGCACCGAACCCAAGGCCGAACCGGGTGTTACACCTGGAAGCGGAGGGAACCGCATCGGATGAGCTCGGGGTGCTCAGAATCTGGGTGCCCCTCTCTTCTTTCCCACCCATCCCTGGTGTCAGTTTCCAGGATCCTCTCCAGGTGGGTGTCTGGGTGCTGAAGGGCACTGGGATGGGATGGGAGGAGTGGTTCTGGGTTGCTTTGCCCCCTCCCGTGGAAAGGCTGGAGGCGGGGTATGTTTCCACTAGCATGGCTGGGCCTTCCCCCCTCCCTGGCCCCCCATCCAGGGGGTCCTGCCTGTCCCTTTACGCCTGCATGAGTCGCGCCCCCGCCGCTCTGCGAGCAAAGGGGGCTGCGAGCTGACCTTGCCCGTGGGCGGGCCGAGGAGACGTCCCCGCCCGCTCGCCGCAGACAGGCGGGACCGGAGCTGGGATGCGCACTGGCAGGGCTGGGCCGAGATGGGGGCGCGTAGCTTCAGGAGGGAGGCTGGGGAATGCACTGCGCGAGTCTGTGAACGGAGACTGGGGGGTAAGGAGCCGGCCTGGCATCCTCTGTGTCCAGCCCCCACGACTGGAGTCCCCTCGCCCCCCGCCCCGGCCTCCCTGCCCGCCGGGCGCGGTGCCCCCCGAGCCGCGTGCGCCGCGCGCGCCGCGCCTCACCCAGCAGAGCGGCCAGGGCTCCAGGGCTCGCCCTGAGCCTTCTGGAAGCGCTTACCTGCGAGCACCGGGGCCCGTGGCCAGGGCCGGCGGCGGGAAACTTCCCCAACCTGCTGGCGGGCATCGCTGCGGCTGCCGCTGCGAGCGGCTGTGCGTGTGTGCGCAGCGCGGATGTGAGTGTGTGTGCGCCCGGCGGGCAGGCGGGCGGGGTCCGCCGAGCGGCTCCTCCTGTCTCCGGCCGGAGATGCCACCGCCGCCTGCAGTTGCAGAAGGCTCACAGGTGGCTGCTGGCCCCGATGCTCACAGAGCCACCTCTCTGGATCAGAGCGCCCTTCATCCCCAACAGCAACAGCAGCCGAGCTGCAGGCGCCAGCGGGAGCGGAGCGGGCGCCCTCGCGGTGGTGCTGAACGGACAGCTCCGCGCCCCCGGTCCCAGGCGCTGCAGCCGCTGCAGCCACAGCTTCTCTCTCTCCACCGGCACGTCATGACCACCCCTTTGCGCCCCCCCGGCTCCATTCAGGGCTCACACCTTCACCATGCCCTCCCCCACCTCCTGGTGACAGCTGTTACAGCCACCCTCCCTCCTCCCGGAGCTCAAGCAGGGGATCGCCTGCGTTGACCTTTCCCCACTGGGTCTCAGGCGGGAGCGGGGAGGGAAGGAACCGGAGGCACTGTGGGGTTCCCCCTTTAGGGACCTGATGAAAGTGGGGTTCCCCCTTTAGGGACCTGATGAAAGTTTCCTGAAGCTGAGGGACGGAGGGGTGTTGGGGGGGTTGTTGGGGCAGGCAGCGGAAGGGCAGAAGAGGGGGCAGGGAAGCTTGAGGGCGAGCCCAGCTGAGCTTGCCAGGGCGGGAGCACAGGCCCCTTCCGCGTGGGCAGGAGTCACCGAGTTCTGTTGGGGAGTTCTGTGTGGGCACTATGTGTGTGTGTGCACAGGCGTGTGTGCTGTGTGGGCTTTCAAGGAATGCACAAAGGTGTGTGTGTGTGTGTGTGTGTGCGCGTGTGGTTTGAGGACAGTAGGACTTTTCAGGGTCTGTGTGCAGCCTCGATAAGAATGGGACCTCTGAGGGGTGGGGAGATGTGTGCAGTGCATGTACCCATGGGAGGCTGAGAGCTAGCTGTGTGTACAGGGTGCTGTATGCGGTGCAGCATTCAGCGGACAATGATAGGATGTGCGTGCTGACACAGTGGAGACTGAGAGGTGTGAGTCCAGTGCAGTGTCCTCAGTACTGTGTCCCCCATTCTCCGGGAGATTATGGCCCAGATCTGAGCTCTGACCTCCTTAGTGTGCTCCCGAAGGTGGGCCCCACGCTCAGAAATGGACCCACAGCCTCCTCCCCTTGGTTTCTCCGTCCTTCTGCATGATCCTGACCTGCAAGGACTAGCACATCCTGTGAGCCTGGCAGAGAGCTGGTGGGCCCCAGGTCTTGGTCAGACGTAGCGTGGCTCTGGACTCACAGGCAGCCCCAGAGCCGCCATGGAAAGCACATCCCTTCTGAGGTGGCCCGGCCAATGCCGTCATAACTAGTCTGATGCTCTGTGCAGCTTGGTTGCTGAGGGAATCCTCGAGGGGCCTGGGGCCGTCATTCTGGCTTCATGTGGGGCTTCCTGGGAAGCCTGGCTTCATTTAGAGCAAACCTGTCCCTGCCCAGCCACCTGCCTCTGGTGTGTGGGGGACTGTGTGCAGGTGTGTGGCCTCTGAGAGGGCTCCACACCCATGTCCCTGCAAGTGCACGTGGGAGGGGAGGATAAGGTGGGGAGGGCCATACATGTTTCCTTTTGTGTCTAGTGCTTTTAGAGAGGTGTGTGTGTGTCTGTGAGAGAGAGGGGGGGGCAATATTTGTTGTCATTGTCTTCTCAAGGTCTGTGTTTGAAGTATGTTTGTCTCATTCCCTACCAAGGTCTGCTGGCCCTATCATTTTAAGTCTGTGGCTCTCCCATACCTGCTTGGGGCCCAGTGTCTGTGCCTGCCCTCTGCTTGCTTTTCCTGGGGTCAGGTGGCCCCTGGGTCTCTTTTATCCCCAGGGGAGTGCAGCTGAGAGTGTGCCACGCTTGCTGCTGCTGCTGCTGCTGCTGTTGTGTGTGTGTGTGTGTGTGTGTGTGTGTGAGAGAGAGAGAGAGAGAGAGAGAGAGAGAGAGAGAGAGAATACGTGTGTAATCCTGTGCTGCTGCCTCTCTCCCTACTTTTCAACCCCAACTACATACACCTCAGGGCGGTGTTGGCTGAGGTCTCCCTTTGCAGAGCATCTGTGGGGCAGCAGGCTCCCTGGGCCCAGCGACTCGCTCCAGCCCTTCGCCGCCCTCTCACTGCCTGGCTCCCACCACCCAAGGCTCATCTCCGCCCCCTGCTTCACCGCCACCTGTCAGGGCTTCTGCTGCAAGGCCACCGTTCCCAGCCTCTCCCAGCCCTGGCCTCACTTAGGCTTCACCTGCCCTGGCGCAGTGCATAAGCCACCTTTCCTGCTGCATTTGGAGGGTCCCTCCTCCCCTCCCCCCTAAGTCTTGGATTTGATGACTCTGTGGTTGCCCTCCCTCTCCTGCTTTATTTCTCTGCCTGCCCCTTCTGTTCCTGTCTGGATTTGTTCCTGCTCCTCCTTCCTTCCTCTGTGGCTGTGGGAGGTTTGGCGTGCGGGAAGCCCTCTCTGCCCTCTAATCCCCCTTGTCCCTCCCACCCTCATGGCCATCTATCAGCAGACACCAGGGCTGTCTCCCCCTTCTAATGGGGTCACTCTGCCCCCTCTCATCTCCCCCTTCCCTCCTCCCCTTCCAACAGAGCTGTGCCAACATGCCCCAGCCACGCAGGGCCCCGGGTTCATGCCTGCTGTTCGCTTGCATTCTGGAGGTCAAGGACAAGCCCCCATGCCTACCTTTCCTTGAACAGGTTGGTGAACTTGGCAGCCAAAAGAGAGGCCTGGGCTTGGAGCCCAGCCGTTGTGTCTTGGGAAGGCGGAGGCAGGCCCTCCGTGGGCCTGACAGATGCCTCTGCAGAGGGTTAAGTGCATGTGACAGGCAGAGCCACTCGTGTATTTCCCAGCCACCGCGCTGAAGAGAAATGGGGCTGCCTCCCTCCTTCGGAACCAGGGAAGCGGGCCGTGTGTATTTGAGGTCTGAGCCCCGGTCTCAAAATGCAGCTGCCTGCTCCCGGCGACAGCTGCCTGGGCCCGGGCTGGGCTGCCAGGGGGGTCCTGATAGGGTAGGGGGGCCGGGGGAGAGGCATCCTGGGAAGGGGGACACGGAGATCCCCAGGCAGTGGCCCACATCCTGGCACCTGGAAGACGATCATCTCTGCCTTCCCCGCCAACACGGATCTCTCAGTGGAGCCCACACATGGCAGAGCCGGCTGTCTCTCTGACAGGCGAGGGGGCTGCGCTGGCGACGGCAGCAGAGGGAGCCAGGCTGCCTGACCTACATTCCCGCCCCGAGGCGCCGAGCACTCAGCCTCTCCCTGGAGGGTGAGCTCGGGGCACCCACCGCCCTGTTGGGGGCACCGTCATCGGTGTCCTTCCTGCTCCCTACAAGCCAGGCTCCCCATCACAGCCAGAGTGTCTCCTAAAAACACCAGCCAGGTCATGTCATTCCCTCTTGGAAAGCTTCTGGGGGCTTCCTGTCAAACTGAGGACGGCCCTTACCACAGATCCAGGACCCCTCCCGTGCACCCCTGCCCAGCTTGCAGGCTTCACCCCCTGGTGTCTTCCTCTCCGTTCTCTCCAGCCGCCTGCTGCCTGCTCCCCCCTCCTTCACCCCCAGCTCATGCACCTGCTGCTCTCTCCGCCTGTCATGGCAGCGTCACACCTGGGGCTTGATTTAAATGACGTACATGTCCCCACCTCAGAAAGGCCTGGCTGCCCAGTAACCGGATCCCTCCATGAGCTGCCATCACGTTTCCCACAAACACTTCTATTCAAGTTATTGGGTATGGGACTCGGTGATGCGTGAAGGAGGCTCCGACTCTTACCTTTGTCCGTCCGTCTGTGCCAGCCAGCCCAGGCCTGTCTCCTCTTCCTCCTGGCAGCTAGAAGGGGAGGGGGACTGTGCCCCGGGCTGTGGCTTGGAGCCCCAGCCCCCAGAGTGTTCACCAGAACAATTGATTAGCCTAATGGATCTCACCCCTGGCTGCACATTTGAATCACTTGGGGAGCTTTTACACTGGCCACTGCCCCTGGATGTCTTGGGCTTGCCCCAAACCAATCAGATCAGATCCCTGGTGTGTGTGTATGTGTGTGTGTGTGTGTGTGTGTGTGTGTACATGATTAATCCTGTGCTGCTGGGAACCTGTGTTTTCTAAGACCCCCACAGTTATGGTAACATGTAGTGGAGGCTGAGAGCCTGAGCTGTGTGCCTGAGTCGGCACCAAGGGCAGGGGCTGTGTCTTAGCTCAGTGCACACCCACCCCAACCCCACCCTGGGTCAGTGCCTGCCTGGAGGGGACGCCGCCGTAAAGGCCGGGCGCCCTTATCACTGCTTCCCCTCAGTCCCCAATTCCTGCAGCTCTGCCCAAGCCTGGGCCTCTCACTCAGAGTCGTTTTCCTTGGAGGCAGCTTGGGATTAGGAAGAGCCCCAGTTTCTCCCCCTCCTTGGAAGGTACCTGTTCCTGGGCCTGTGTTTTGCTGCCCCTGGTAATGGGGGCCAGCAATAAGGCTGCTGGCAGGCCTGTCTGGGTGGACAGGCACAGAGACTCTGCCAGTGGCAGAGGCAGACCAGAAGAGAAGAGAGAAGCAAGCAGGGGGACCCTGAGCCGTGTGGGGGAAAGCGGGGGGATTAGGGGGGAGAGAGACGGTTTTCAGCCTTAGGGAGGAGGTGTGTGGGAAGGGAGGAACAGACTGGTGCGGTAGATGAGAGGAACGTTGGGGGACAAAGGGTTTTAAGAAGTTTTCCTGCTTTATGAATGCAATTCCTCACTAAGTGTTTTCTCAAAAGGCAACAGGGAATGTTACATAGCTGTGCATTCTTTCTGGATGCCAGGCTGAATTTATTACGTGCGAGTCTGTGCCTAGGCCATTTGGATTCATCCCCAGAGGCCACCCTCCTCTCCTCCTGCAACCCCTCCCTAGGCGCCCCTGCAGGTCAGTGGACAAAGGAGAGGAAGCTGTTTCTGCAGGTGGCCTTTCTGAGTCCTTTATGAAAAGGGGACCAGGTGCCCATCATGCTGGCAGGCACAGTCCTGCTCCTCAGGTCCTGCCTCTTGCACCTCCTGCTCCAAGTCCCTTTTTCCTATAAGCCCCCTGAGTACCTCGCCCTTGGGGCTTTTCACTCCATCCCCCAGAACATCCTGGAACAGGGCTGGGATAATTAAGATA